CCCAGCGCTTGTACTTTTCCGGCATTTTCAGTCTCTTCCTTTCTATCTTTGCACGTCTCCATTTCAGCATCAGTTCAAACATCACACAATTATAAAACAACACAACCGACTGCAAAACCCCCGTGTTGCATGCCAAATTTTTGTCTCAATCAAGGTTTGCATAATATCCACGGCCTCTCAGACGTGGGTGAAACACAAAGCCAAAAAGTCCCTTTGGTTCCTGAAATCAGCCGCTGTGAGTGAATCACTTCTTCCTGGGGCAGTGTGACTGAAATCAGCCACTGCCTCCAACTTATTGGCACTTTACGCACACATACGCAGACACGAAACGCACTTTCCACATCAAAAGAGTCGTGTAATTTCCGGCACAAGCAATCATTATAAAAAGTTCAGAGATCTCAGAAACTGTGTCTCTATGAAGCTGAGCGCTAAAAGCAAACAGCAACCCCGTCATTATCATCTATTTGCTGCACACCTATTGATATTCAGATTTTAATTCAGGTTAACACTGACCTCGAACACTCACATACACAATTTCCCTTTATCCACAGAAAGCTGGCTTTTGTTAAATAATGACATATGGCGTTGGTGCGTCCAACGCTGTGACGTATTCTTGGTCATTTCATTGCCAGTAGGACTCCGTCTAGCCACAAGACGGATGGAAAAGTTGTCCGAATGATGAAGTATTATGCTCATAATGGTATTATTCTATCAAAGAAAAAAGACAGTTTATCTCACAAACGTACTGCAGACTTTGGAGAATGATTTTCCAGGTGTCTCCCTTGATAAAGACACAGATGCGCGTAGGATAGACGCACTGCACCACCACCTAATTACTATGACACAACTCCTACTGTGCCTCCTTCTCACTTTGACGCAGCCAAGTTCACAATGAGTCACCAAAAAAAACCAGTCAGGAGCAGGTAGATACACCAGTTAAAGCCAGCAACAGTCACACTGGCTTTGCAGTATCATGAGCCGACCGCCTAAAAAACACATTTTCAAAAACTTTAAAGGAGAAATAAAACTGAAAACAAGGGGAGGGAGAAAAAAAATGATGTGGAAATAGTGCCAAAGCAGGAAAAGGGTTGGAACAGAGGACAGGACGGGATAGTAGCAGGTCGAGGTGAAAGGGTTGTCTCATTAATCTTAAAAGGGCGCAGCAGAACCTTCAGGATGCAAATGAAACTATCAGTCTTGTCAGAGAAACAGATAAAGGGATGGAGTGATAGAGGGATTGACGGGGTTATTAGAGGGGAGGAAAAAGGCTGGGAACAGTAAAAGAAGAAAAGACAACAAATTGATGGGAAAGAAAAACTAAATCCATGTAGAATTTTCCCTGTCGCACTGAAAAAGTCCCAGAAAGAGCATTTAAGAGACTAAAGTTACATTAAAAGTCAGTAAACAGACTCAGCTCCTCCTGACATGAACATGCAGCTTTGTTGTCACTGTTCTGGTTGTTAACGTCTGATGGGTACAGAAAATATGATGATAAGTGCAGTAATATTTGAAGAGCAAACATTTGAGGAACAGTGACTCATTTTTATCAGAACATACACAGATTTATCACAATGTTTAAACCACCTGCCTGCCTAATATTGTGTACATCACCCTTTTATCATCAATGAATTAGATCATAAAGATGTGAACCCGGAAGCTATCCTGTGGTGTCTGGACGCAGCCCGTTGGCAGCAGATCATTTGGTATTAGTGGATTGTGGGGGTCTCCATGTGCCAGACTTGTTCTTATAGGAGTGCATCTGGAGGTTTGGCTCCCAGGTCAATGTCTTGGACTCCTTGCTCTGTTTGGTGTAGTTTTTGTGGTGTTGTTTTGTCCTGAGGGCTGACATTTGAGAATCAGTGGAACAATGTTCAGGGTGGTGGTACACATCAAAATAACATCTGCATGAATGTCTGTGAAGGTTCTCAGTCATCCAGGTCATGGTTATTCTCGTAGTTTAATCGTAGCAACTGGACTTGCTTGAGTTTCTTGAAGACGTCTAATGGCTCCTTAAGGACATAAGTATCTGGAACTCCCAACTAGTCAGTCAGAGCTGATGAAGCCTCTTGGATGAGAGGTGGAACGTCTTCAAGGAACTCAAGCAAGTCCAGTTGTTATGATTAACCTACGAGAATCTGCATGAATGCAACAACCCAAGACATCCAGCAGAACCTCCCACTGTAGCGTAATGATCAATGTTATACACAATAACGGTCGGTGGTTTTAATGTCGTGGCTGTAAGTGTGGTGTGCTGCACCTTCCTGCTTCTGAAGTCAACATTTGTTGAATTAAAGGGTTTCAACCTTTATCTTGCTGCTTGAGCACATCTCCCCTAAGAAAGTATGTGACAATTAAAAAAAACTTCTGAGTTAGTCAGTAACTATACAACCCAACAGGCAGATTTCTGAGGTTGTTGATGTGAAGCCTGGACAATGAAGCCCAGATTGTGTGAATGGAAGGCATTAGCAGGTATTAGCTTAGCAGATGTTGCACTTTGTGTACGTGAAATATCCTCACATTCTGCTTCCATGTCATGTATAATTATCAGAATACACCGTGACTCTTGTGACCTTATCATTTTTTATTTCTATGCACATTTTCCATCTCTAAGTCATACAAACTTGAGAGCGTACTCGATCCAATCACTTTCAGGCGTCATGTATTTGTGCAGTGAGGAAGAATGTGGCCTAAAGCGACTAATCCCTCATATGAAGGTGTGCAGAATTATGAGGCAGCCTCATTACCACAGAAAGCATGACTCACCAGCACACACCTCTGTAGCCGAACCACAGAACAGGGAAGGGCAAGATCTAGAACTGGGGTTGAAAAAAAAAACTCTTGGTTTCTAACATTGGGAGGAAAATGAAATAAAGGCGCAGTTTAATCACAGTTTAGCAGCTTCTAGGAAAAGGTATCGAAATCACATGCTCGGTAAATGATGGATGTTAAACATGTCCAACAAGTCCTCAGAGTCGATTCTCCAGAGTTAAAATCAGTTCCTAAAACACTCTGGGCTGCCAAAAAATACAACATACAGGCCACAAGAGGTTTAACAGACACTTAAAGGTCAAACATTAGATAATGACTCTCAGATGGATGCAACACTTTAGAAATATCCAAACTACTAAAGCTCGACATCCAGGCAATCAAACGTTGTTTTGCAAGTAGAGAATAAAAGGAGCAAAATAAAATGCACCAGAATATGGTAATGGTCTGCACTTAGGGCAACTTACTCAGGTTGTTCAGGTGGTAGAGTGGGTTGTCCTCCAATCGCAAGGTTGGCGGTTCGATCCCGTCCACACGGGCAAGACACTGAACCCAAAGTTGCTCCCAATAGCAGGCAGCAATGGCAGCTCTGTCACCATTGGTGTATGAATGTGTGTGTAAATGGATGAATAAGAAACACATTGCAAAGCGCTTTAGATAATATAAGTGCAGATATTACCACAATATTCCATACCAGGACTATCCATATGTCCAAGCGCTCAGAGAAAGGTAAAGAAGTGGATCAGATCTACAAGTTAAAGTGTCAAACCCAGCCAAGAAATACTGGAAGATGGGATTTTAAAAGGTTTCAAAGCTAGTTAGAACTTTCCAGGTTGAAGACAGATTGGATATGAACTTCTAAACTGACTGCCAGTTTGTGGAAGAACCTTCTTCAACCAGTGGCATTCAAGAATCTACGGAGATGTTTATGCAGGATCCATCACATGCAATCAAGTTCTCTAGTTCTTGGCTAAACAGGAGGAGGACTCAAAGATGACCAAGTAATGTCCAGCCCCCTCCTCACCCTGACTTTAGTCCATATAAGTACCTGTGACCCTTCACAAATGTGAGATTTACAGTGCAAAGACCAAGAAAAGAAATAATTCTGAACAGCTGGTAAACCTACTTTTTTCCTTATTAAACATTCAAGCTTACGGTTCAGCAGCATTATGGTTTATATTCGTTCAATAACAAACTTCATCCTGAGGAATACAGTTTGCCTCGTAATTGTGCATGCAGGGTGTGATTCTAGAAATCAACCTCTGACACAGAACAAATTGCATGTGTTATAGGTCAGCCTCCAGAGACGAACTGGAATACTGAGAGACATCAGAGGATTGTTAGGCACCAGGAGGTGGAGAGTGAAAAGGTGTTGGACGGCAGAGAGCTCTGGCGTTCGGAGTCCAGTGAGGTGAAATTGAAAGGTGCATCAGGTGGAAGCAGAGAGTGTTGCTGGTCATCGGAGTATAAAAGCAGTCAGTCAATGGGTTTGTCTGCGCAGTGACAAGAAGAAATCATTAGGTGAGACAAGCTGTACTCGGAGCTGCCTCTGTGGCATCTAGTAGATGTGACAGTTGATGAGGTCCAGTCTCTTTATATTTGGCTTTGCGACGCTGCGGGCCAGTGATCAATTGGTGGGGCGAAGGTCAGCTGTCCCTCCTGGCTGTCCCTAACAAAACAGTGGACTGTGGAGCTCCGCGGAAACACTGCAAGTCATACATACAGTCGTCCTCAGATGTATTCATACCCTCCCATTAAAAAAAGGGGAAAAAACAGCTGTCACTAAAATACGTTGAAATTAGCAAAAGTAATAATAAATTTTTAAAAAATGAAAATCACGACATTGCTTTTGAATTGTGGTTCAACAAAAATATAAATATTTTTTAAAATTATTCTTTTCACCCACAATACAAAAGCACCATCTTATTTCACTAAATTATAATTTAGCAAATTTTTATTTATTATTACTTTTTTCAGTTTCTAGTTATTTGAGTGGCTATTGTGAATTTTGCCTTTTCTTTAATGGAAGGATATCAACACATCTGAGGACGACTCTACGATGTCATTTGATTGATGGTTGCAGTGAATGTGCACAAATTGAGACATAAAGTGAATTCTCTCTCATGCTTTTGTCTTTTCTGTGCAAGATTTGTCGTGTTATCTGCAGGATGATGTTTTACACCAGACGAAAAACTTCACAATCAACCTTCCTCTTGTGTCTCTTTTCTCTCCAGCCCTCCAGACCACTCAGCCTCCAAAGGTCCTTTTCCCCCCAGAGAGACAAGACACAGTGATAGAGATCACGCCTGGTAAGGAACAACTTCTCCCCTCAACTTTTTTATTTATTTTTTTTAGGTTAAAGCCTCCAAAGCTCCTCGGTTTTTACTGTAGATCGGTGTCTTCATCTGTGGTGCAAAGTGCTCGTTGCTCCTCCATAGAACAGCAGGTTCTGTTGGGACACTTGAGTTGTCACAACAGATGTGATCAGTGCCACTTCAATGTGACCTTCAGGCATAAATGAACTTTTACTCTCAGGAAGTCCCCGCAGTAGAAACCTGCACCATGAGTCATAGTTCAGTGTGCGATGATGCAGTGATTAAAGAATAGAAATAAGTTTTTTTTTTTGTGTTTACTTTGTGATGCAAGTGTGAGCTGGAAGGTCCAACCCGTCTGTCTGCTGCCACCTGGTAGATTTACATCCAGGAAGTCACAGGAAGCCGGTTGTCTGGAGTGAAAATGGCTTCGCTAAGTATGAGCTTCAACTTGCTAATTGTGTATCAGCACTCAAACTTCTGGTTCACACTTCTTGTGGTCTTCTTAGACACCATCATTATTATGGAGGTGCTACATACGGTTCCTTAATGCACCAACGCCATTTCCAATTATTGGCAACTGATTTTCTGTCCATGACAATCTAGAAGGTGAAGCTCTTTTCTTTTCCTTTAATTGATGATTGATTGTTGTCACTGCTAACTACGGAGATTCTTCTCTGTTTGTGGCAACTGGATATCGGCTGTAGGACAAGAGGTTGTTCTGTTTTGATAAAATGAACTTAGTGTTCAGAAGCATAAATATGATTTTATTCCAATGCACTTCTTGTCACATTCATTCAATACCTCCTCATGGTTGGCTGGCTGATGCCATGGTGTGTGCTGAAAGAAAATCAAGTTTTCGTACACAGCTCTGAACCGGTAAATGAGAAACAAAGTGGCTCGGACCAATCGCTATTCCAGTACTTCACTATTTAGGGAGGAAAGGGAGGAAGAGCAAGGAAGTAAAGGGTCAGTAGGAGAAAGAGGGAAGGTAAATCTGACACATGCTAACTATGTGAATATATTAACTTGCTAAATACTGAGCATACTTTTCCAGAATTGCAGGCCTTACCTTTAATTGTGTGTTAATGCTAGAATGCAATGGGTCTTCCTTTTTGTTCTCTCCAGTGTCCTTTGTGATGGAACTGCTCTTGCTTCTCTTCTATAGCTACATACATGAGGATAACCATGTTATGTGTAATTGCAGTACTGTAAAGCTTAAATGTGTCTTACTATATGGTTGTATTATTCCAGTTATGGTTGCCTATCTGCCTTAAACAACAGATATTCTTCCAGGCTTTTACTTTCGATACTTGATTGCACTCAATGACAACGTTTATTTTAATTTGGTAAGGTCAACGAGAAAGCAAACATTCCTGTCTCGGCTGCTCTATCCATCACCTTGACTTCCACACTCCACTTCCCTAAATAAAGGCCAAAGTACTTCCTACATTGGCATTGAAGTTTGGGTTTCGCCATAAATCAAGAGGTGCAGAACTGTCCAGTATGAAACTAACACCTTGTGATGCTTCCCCGACTGTGTTGACTAACTTTGTTTACTATTATTTCTTTTGTGGTGGTTGTATATTGGAAACATCGACTGCATATAAAAGATGGATGTGGCCTCACGGACTTAAAAGTGAAGCCAAAATAGGAGCGTCTTAAAGCTGCAGTCTTTGTATCAGCCAGCAGGGGGCGACTGGTTGCAAATAAAAGTCTATGAGAGAATAATCCTTCTTCTTACTTCATTTGAATTTCCCTTCTGGGATGAATAAAGTATTTTTCATTTCATTTGTTATCTCAGTAAACATTTTTCTAATGACTTTATGGTTTCAATTGCTAGTTTCAAGACTTGTTGAATGCAGCATGATGCTAATTTTGTAAATAATTGTCCAATTTAGAGTAAAATAGACGATAAACTTTGCATATTTCAAGGGATTCAAGGAAGTTTATTTGTCATGCCAGCTCACAGTCATGGTTGTGGTGTGAAATTAGTACTCGGGTCCCGTTTTGTTTTGTTTTGTTTTGTTTTTCAAGAAAAAGGCTAATAAATAATAAATACAGTAAAACAAGAGCAAAATATAAGTTAAAAAAAATACAGCAATATAAGTGAAGTTAAGAAAAAAAACAACATTAGAATAGAAAGCCAAAATTAGTTATGTTTAGTGTTAAGTGTGAGGCTGCTTTGTCATTGACAGGTTGCTGCTGTGTCACCACACACAGTGTTCTTGTTTTCTTCAGACAATCCACCATTCTGTCATTCTGTCTGATTTCAAAATTCAAGTTTTCCAGACCAAGAAGGTTACAGCGAAATGGCAAACTTGGGATTCACGACAGTCCACTAACCAGTAGTTGACACTCCATCACTTCGTCCATCCTTTATATGCAGTTTGTGATCAGAAAACGTGGCTGCTTCACCAAAACCACCCCTCCAACTCCAATAGTTTCTCAGAGTTCAGTAGAGAGCCACTTTACTGAACCCTGATGGGTCATTACTTCCATCTGTAGGACGGTCAGAGGTCAGGTTTGGCCACAGAAGAGCCTCCATAGAGCTGGCAGCGTTTCAGTGTCTTGGGTCAGATCACTGAAAGATGGCGGATCAGTGAGCGTCTGTCAGAACACACTCTATCCGCTCCAGTCCTGCTGCGTTTTTGTTCCTTTATCTGCTCCAGTCGGAGATTAACAATGACTTATGAGCAGATATGTTCTCAATCCAATTTACTTTGTGCTCAAACATTTGCAGAGCCCACACACGGGACTCGGTGCGGCGGCGCCTTATCTCCTGACGAGACCTAGAAGACGGTCAAAACTATGACAGCTTCAAATTGAGTCTTTTCACTTTGCTTCATCTTTGCTGGATGCTTTCCAGACTGAGCGTAAAGGTTGCTCGGATCGGCATCAGCCTCGGAAATGTCATTTTAGCGCCGTTATCATTGAGGTTAACAAAAACCTATAAGCTGTTGGATGAATCTATGAAGGAGACAAGAATTAAGAATGAAAAGGCCCTCATTAGGGTTTAGTTGTGGACTGAGCAGGGTTGTGTTGTGAGCTGGTCGGCTGCTGTGTGTGTGTTTAAGTGCGTAAGGATGCATGCGTGCGTCCTGCTGTTCGGCGGCCTCTCCGACAGCGTCAGCGCCGTGGGCAGAGACGTGTCGGGATGTGTGTACGCGGCTGTTTGTGTGTTTGCGTGTTTCCATTAACTCCAGATTGATGTAGTAACAAATAGGCCCTCAGGCCTCCGTACGCTGATTGCAGCAGGGACACCTTTTAATGGGCACCGCAATCTCACCCCCAGCGCACACACAGACACACACTTACAGACCACACAGCAAGACACACACACTCGTCGACACACTCACACAACCACAGTGTGACCCCGCGGTGCATTTTTAATTATCATCTTGTTCTAACCTGGGGGAGATTTACATCAGCGGCCACAGTTATGTTGTTCATTTTCTTCTTCCTCCTCTTCTTCTTCTTCCACTTTTTTTTTTTTTTTNTTTTTTTTTTTTTTTACTTCCTTCTCATCCCTTTATTCTTCCTGTACTTTCTTTTCCTCTTCATTCCTCATTTGTTTTATTGAGACTCTTTTTTTTTCCCTTAATGCTGGGGGTGATGAACACAATTCATTACGCTGCCTGTTATTATACCAGTGTGGTCCACGGGCAATAAGCGCACAAAAAGAGCTCATAATTAAAGATCGATTTATGATATAGGGAAAATTTCAAAAAAATAAAATAAAATCAGAGATAATGGTGCTTATCCTGGTAGATTTATCCCTTAAAACCCGGCACAGTTGGGTTGTGTAGGTGTATAATGCAGCACAGAGAGTATAAAATGAACGCAAATACATTATCTAAATGTCAAATACATTTATTGGGAATTTGACTGTATTTTTTTTAACGAAGCAATAACATTAGTTTTGGTGCTGCAGGTTCTCCACAAGGAATATATTATCTATTCTGCCATTATAAACACACTTAGAGTTTCCTAATAATTTCTCTGTCATCTTCTTCTCTTATTAAATTCATTTACAATTTCTTAACTTTCGTGGTTAATCAGAAGCAGGTGAAGTGGGGAAATAAAAAAAAGTCTATTCTGTGAAAAATCAAAGGAAAAACTAATTGAGTAATTAGTTTTAAAAAATTTAAAAAGAGAGAGAGAGTTTCCATTATTTTTCTTGGTATAAAGTCAGTAGAATAGAACTGACAAAGCAAACTGATGAACGTTAACCGGAGAGTGAAAATTAATGTGAGAGCGGCGTCGTGGAAACGCACATAAACCAAAGCAGGACAAACGGCGATACGACTTAATAAATTAAACACGGTTTCATTTTAATAACTGGGAACGTCAAATGTTCCTTCCATTCATCACGAGCTCTACGCGGTGCTGAGGTTCATCATTTACCTTCAGCGACTCGTCTCGGCTCTCGGACCTAAATGTCAGTCATATTTAAAGTCGGTGGAGCTCGGCTAATTGCTGGATTGTCAAATGTTCCCGTCATCGATCCATCCGTCTTTCCTGCAGCTAAAAGCTCATCCTGGGTTTGATTTAAGGCCGGCGATGGGATTTTTGGGCACCTTAGACTACATTTGGTGAAATGCACGAATGAATTAACAACTAATGTCTAACTTTGTTTGGAAACGGTGTAAATTAGGTTTATGTTAAAATTTAATTGAGTTATTAAAGAATTAGCAAAGGATTAAAAATAATAAATAATATCCTTCAAACAGCTGCTAACTGCTTCTTCTTTACTGTAGCTGCTCCAAAGCTTCAGAGAAACTTCTCACAATAAAAAATTTCTCCTACATTTACATTTTCAAGGAAAATCTCAGGATGTACATGTTTTTATTGGCTTTTTCTGTTTCTTAATGGTCCTAATTTGTAGTATTTCAATGTATTTTATCCTAAGCTTTTATCTTATAGTTTGTAATCATCTTTTCTGTTACAAACTGATTCCTTTTTGCACATTTTTCTGTTGATGCACATCTGTTAAC